TATAAAAGGCTTTTGTTTCAAAACCACACCCTGTTTAAAGACGCTACACGGTGAAATTGTATACCCCGTTTACGGCTCAAAACCCTGAAAACCATACCTTCAACAGGGGCGAATACCCGTTTAGGATAATAAAGGAAGTGCCCCCGGGTGTTCATTAGAGATCTGCAGTTTAACACTAGTGGATAGATGAGTTGCTGAGAAAGACGTACTAAGACTCGGTGACATTTGTTTGTTCAACTTTACAACTTAAGATATAATCGTACAAGGCACAATTGGCAAAAGAGCGGAAGAACACGGCCCGAAATTTACACGAGGATTAACTACCTGTCTTAGAAATGATGATGTAGATATGCGACATATAAAAAGACACTCATATACTTTGCTGCGGGGAAGGGGCAACTGAACACAGGCTATTTGCAATTAAACCAGAGTTAGAGTTAGCCGAGCTTCGAACAACTTGGCCCAGAACCCCCGGGGGCCCAGAAGTACTACCAAATAATACACTGAACTTACATCACGAAGAGACAGACCGGTGGCAAACGTTTTGCACAAAAAAGTGACCTTTCGAGTTATTCTAGTGAATGGGGTAAAATATTAGATTGAAGAAGGCGCTATAATGCTGCTTTTAACAGTTAAAGCGAAAGAGGAAGCCGAGGCATTCTTTACTGCAGGCAGATATCGATCAAACCCTACTATTATTCTACTGAAAATTAAAAGGCAGTACCGGGCGATTTGTATCTGTAGCATTTATTTTATAGACATGGCTCAACCTCGTTCTCCGGAGATGGAGAGACCCTGGGAACGAGGAAGCCTGCGTGGCAGGCGCGGTTCGCGCCCGCAAAATCTCTCGAACAATGCAGAATGTGCAAAAGAATAGAGACAAAGCGCGCCTAGTGAGTAATAGTTGCAAGCGCAGCCGTATTTCCGGTCGTCGCTTCTCTACACCCGGCAAAAAGTTATTTTCGGATTAAAGTAGAGAAGGAGAGAAGCGACGACCGGAAATGTGTCTGCGTTCGCGAACTATGTATCCACAATCGTGGACAAAATTGATGGAAAATTTGTTCCCCCCTCCCCCGCAAATCAAGGATGGGAAAATGGTGCGTTTTGGCTTTTGCGCGTCTTCATTCTTAATTTGGGGGGGATGGGCGTTTGCTGTTCCATTTTTTTCTGTCCAAGATTGCAGATGCAGATCGGTTTATTTTATATTATCATCAATTTTTTTTCATATCAATGAGTTGAAGAGAATGCCTCATCACGGAATTTCTTTCGCTGTCAGCTCTTTTCATCCTCTGCATATCCCTCTGTCTTCATATCTGATATTCCCAGTTCATCGTCTTGTTCCTTTGACCTTTGATAATGGACAACTTCCAGCTCAGGGTCTGGGTCTGGCGCGTACAGATTCTACAGAATGGTTGAGGTAAAACATGAGCCTTAAAGTCGACTTGACAGTAGAGGAAATGAAAAAGTATCTGACTGTCAAATATATTCTAAGTGTATGAAAGACTTGTTTACCATTACTAAATGCCAAGACTGAGATATCAGTCCAGCCCTACCCATAAAAACGCGGTACTGCAAGTGAAGTCATTCGTTGGTAGCAACTATCGGGAGGAAAAGAGCTGCGAGCTTTTGTACTGCACGCAATTTTTATTCACGGGATTCGCGAGCGTTGATCTTGGCAATTTAGTCCCTGAAACCGCCAGTAAGTTATTTTGTTCCTTCGACAGGAACCTGACAAGCGAAATGTGGTTGGAATTTGGCCATCGTAAAAAGCAAAAGTAGACCAACTTGTCCCAGGCGTATGGATCATGGGGTTGGTGCAAAGCAGAAAAAAATGCTCCCATTCTTATTTCACTTCTCAGTTTGGCACCACCCTCCGCTATCTGAATGCGTGAAAGAGGCTGAAAGCTGACCTTTAGTGCCAGCCCCTCCTCAGAGTGAATAAAATCACCTACTTCCAAGATAGACTCTGAGGAATGATAAGAAATGTTCCGCAGGTGTCTGCGTTGAAGTCAAGACACATGATTGAAGGACTAATATCCACCCCATACATTTTTCTGGTTCACGCGCTATTAAACTATGCTTTAAGTGATCGAAAATGTTGTGCAGTTTCACTGTTTGATTTCGCAGGACTTAAGGAAATGCGCGTTAGGATAGCATTAACTAAGGCTAGGAAAGAACTGTACCTAGATATTTTGTTTTACCTGTATGTAGCTATTTCCGGCTGGATCATCGAGTATAATCTCCACACCTAGCTCTTCACCGCTTATTATCTGTAAAGAGGAAGATATAAGAAATTAGCTGGGGAATTCTTCATAAAGCTTGCCGAGATATGGTGCGAATCAGGACCAAAAAACTAAAAACAACTTTTGTTCACGCTTCAAACTAGCAATCTAACTTCAGTGACCATAATACCTACCACTTACATCATGGTGTCTCGATTTACACACCGGATAAACCGCAATTTGGAATTGTGAAGTTCTCTGAACATGAGTTACTACTGAAAGTTACAAACCTTATCAATGCCTGTCAAAAATGTCTTCATCTGACTATTAAATAACGCAGGACTGTCTCCAAAGCCAAACGGATTCACAGACTGCAACTATAACGGTGTAAAACAATCAAGAAATAAGCAATGGGCAGAGCTCATACTCTTGCCCCCTATGTCCCCGATATAAGAGGTAAAGGTCTAAGAAAGTAGAGTTTATACCTACCCAGTAAAACAACACTCACTTACTCACTCTAGACTGCTCATCGTCCCGTGTTCCCCTTGTGATTATCGAGGTCGATAGCCGAAGAGCACAAATTACTCCTGGGTTCGGGGGTATGGCACGGGGCTGGGGGCTCTACATGTCACGCCAATCAACCTAACATTCTTGGATAAGTGTCCAGTATGGAACTTTATGACACTTTCAGGCTATTTAATATTTCTTCTTTGCAAGAAAATAATGCGCAGTTTACCATTATATTTATCATGGCCACACTCATTTTAGTCCCCAGTGCTGCTATTCTTTTGGCCAGTGCCGTGGATTGAGAGCTGAGATTCTGCGCAACCTCAGAAACTTAATACCGTTACCAACGGTTACAGACATAGCAGCTATTACGCTTACGCGATATCCTGGAACCTGTTAGAGCT